CAAGGATTGAGCTGTGAGGTTCAGGATTTGTGTGATTGGAGGTGATGTTAAGAGTGAGGATCAACAGCTGGACCCTGTATCTGTTGCTACGTAGACAACAGATGTGCCTTTTGTACTTATTAAACTATCTACACATCATCTAAACAGAGAGGTGTTATAGCAGCACACAGTCATATAAAGAATTCTGGATATAGACTTTTCTGTCATTACAAACTTTTCTGGATCCATTGTAACACTGCAAGATAGGATGTTTTTTTAATATTTTCTCAATAGTTTCTCTTTCAGTTTTTTTTAAATTGCATTTGCTGTTTTCACTATAAACAATCAGAAGAGACACATTTAATCATCACTCTAGAAAACTTTGATTAGAAAACTGCAGCTTCTCTAAGATCAATATTAGCATCAACATACACATAATCCTGTTGGTTATTTTTAAACCTTGATATCGTGAGAAGAAATTATTAGAATCTCAGTGTAATTACATGACGCTGAATTCAAAACAATCCATTAATCTGTGTCTTTGCATCTTGTTGCAAAAGATCAACATTCACGCTGACACTGTCAACTTTCTCTCTCCAACTGGCGGGAGACACAGAAACTGGCAGCCGCCACCTCTCAATCTTCAGCTTGTCAGTGCAACACAAGCTGCTAATTCATTATACATTGCAGTGACTGGCTGACACTCAACAGTAAAGGCTGGGCTGGAATGAAGTGGCTACAGCCAAAGGGTGGTGGTGGTGGTGGTGGTGGTGGTGGTGGTGGTGGTGGTGGTGAGTGATCTGTGTCTTCGCTCACAGAGAGACTGAGGTAACGGTTTTTCTGTCTCCAGGAAAACCTCCCGGCTCCCCTCATGCAGCGTCCCCGGCCCATCCTGCGCTTGGTTATTGTACAGAACTAATTTGTCCTCATCTCTAAGCTTCCTGATAGCAAAGCAGCCAATTAGAGATAAGCTCGAGCCCTCGCAGCTCTTCTGCAGTGCACCCCCACTCACTCCCTCCATCGCCTCACTCCCTCAGTGTCTCCACTCGCTCTTCCTCTCTCACTCCCCCAAACATTACATTTCATCTTTCACTGGTTCCTCCTCCTTCTCTCCCTCGTTGGAGCTTTTTCTTTCAGCCTTTTCTTCCACGTTGTGGTGCAGTACAGCTGACAGTGTCTTGGCATGGCTTAGAGGTCAAGTATCCTTGATGTCTGTGGAGTGTTCAGCCAAGATAGATGCTCAGTAGTCGTGCAGTGATGCAGTGAGGTGTAGCTGGAGTGGAAATGCAGGACATGTTAGCTCTGAAAGATTTATGCCCGCGGGTGGGTGGCATGCTGTAGATAGAGATGTGTCCTCTCCTGTGCTCCTCGGCAGGTTTACTGAAGGTGGGGTCGCACTGACTTACCTGAAACTGATAATTTTATTTCGTTTGTAGGATATTTGGTCAGAAAGTGCAAACATTTGTAAGTTTATGAGCTAACGTCAGAGCTTTTATTCAAAAAGGGAAATGCAACTTCTTATAT